TTTTTTTTTTTTTTTGGTCATGGGGCTTGAACTCTGGGCCTGGGCACTGTCCCTGGACTTCTTCAGCTCAAGGCAAGTGCTCTACTTGAACCATGGTACCACTCCTGGTTTTCTGGTAGTTAACTGAAGATAAGAGTTGCTTGGACTTTCCTGCTAGGGCTGGCTTTGAACTGAGATTCTCAGATCTCAGCCTCCTGAATAGCTTAGATTACAGGTGTGAGCCACCAGAGCCCAGCTTTTTTTTTTTTTTTTAATTTTAAATAAGGGCACATTTAATCCTGGAGGCAGGGTGATGTGGTACATACCTGTAATCTTAGCTACTTAGACAGCTAAGGCAGAAGAATCTAGGCCTGAAGTTGTACCCTGGATAAAAGCATGAGACCCTGTCTGGAAAAATAAATCAAGTAAAAAAGCCAAAGGGATTGAAGGTATAGCTCAAGTGGCATAGTGTTGGCCTAGTAAGTTCAAGGCTTAAGTTCAAACCTCACTGCCACAGAAAACAAAACAAAACAAAAAAACCCAATCATGATTATATAGGGTATTTTCCAATTTAAAAAACGGCACATAAATGTTGGATGTCAGGGGCTCACACATGTAATCTTAGCTATCCAGGAATCTGAGATCTGAGGATCAAGGTTCAAAGCCAGCCTGGGCAGGGAAGTCTGTGTGTGTGTGTGTGTGTGTGTGTGTGTGTGTGCCTGTGTGCGCATGTGCACAAGAGAGAGAGAGAGAGAGAGAATGCACCAGCTTTCAGTTGGCTTTTCTACTCAAGGCTGGTGCTCTACCACTCGAGCCACACCTCTATTTCTGGCTTTTTTTTTCTGGTTAATTGTAGATAAGAGTCTCTCAGATTTGTCTGCCTAAGCTGGGTTCAAACCTTGATCCTCCTATCTCAGCATCTTGAGTAACTAGGATCATGGGTGTGAGCCATCAGCACCCAGCTACATCCTCAACGTTAGGTCAGGGGCAGGTGCTGGTGCTCTCTGAGGGAAGGCAGCTGGTAATCCTTTCTCCCTGTGGTAAGAGCCTTAGTTTCTAATGTGCTCCTTTCCTTTTGGGTCTCTGCAGGATGTGGGTTCCCTAGATGACAAAATGAAGAGCTTGGATGTGAATCAAGACTCGGAGCTCAAGTTCAATGAGTATTGGAGACTGATTGGGGAGCTGGCCAAAGAAATCAGGAAGGAGAAGGCCTTGGAGATCCGGAAGAAGTAAAGCTTGCTGGCTTGGATGGGGGTGGATAGAGCAGGGCTGGGTAGGGTCAGGCAGCACCCCTCTTCCCGCAAATAAAATGTTCTCCTTGAAACACAAATGTTTCCTATTCACATCCCACTTGATTTCTCCTCTTGATATCAGGGGTCTCTGCCCTGACCTGAGTGTGAGTTGGATGAGTATCCGTTCCTTGAAGAATGTTATCTTCAACTATCCTGTGGCATCTAGCAAAGGTCTTTTTTGTTTTTCTTCTTTGTGCTGGGGATCTGACTCAGGGACTTAGCATTAGGTCTTGTGTTAAGTAGGTGCTCAGTAAATAAGTGGTTGAGTAAAAGACACAGAGGGAGCAGGTGAGGTGGCGCCTAGCTCATTAGTTGGTTGCTGGGCTCAGCTGCAAGGTTCTGGCTCTGCTTCCCCCATTTTTCCTGTATTATTCCTAGACTTTGTCCTCTAGATGTAATGTATAGGAGGCAAGGGTGTTGGGCACATGGCTAGATATTTTACCTGCATTATCCTTTTTAATTCTCACAGCCCTTTAAAAACCCATAGTATTTCAAAACCCAGTATGAAAGATGAAGAAACAGCTAGATGATGGTGGCTCACACCTGTAATCCTAGCTACCCAGGAGGCTGAGATCTGAGGATTGTGGTTCAAAGCCAGCCTGGGCAGAAAAGTTCCCGTGAGACTCTTATCTCCAATTAACACCCCCTCCCCCAAAAAAGATGAAGAAAAATATTTAGGGTGTTTAAGTCACAAAGCCATGTATAGTGGCCCAGGCCTGTAATTCTATCACTTTGGAGGCTGAGAGTGGGAGGATTGTGGTTTGAGTCCAATCTGGGCAGAAGGTTCATGAAACCCCTTCTTAATCCATATCTGAGAACAGTGGCTCACCCATGGGAGAATGGGTTTGGGAGGCACAGGCCAGGCCAGGAAGAAAAGTTTACTACACTGTGTCCACAGAAGGAAAACTTGGCATGTGCCAAGTGACAAAAGGAAGTTTAAAAGTAAGTGGATCAGAGCTCAGGTATGCACGGGGGTGGGCAGCAAGACCCTATCCTAAAAATAGGGCTAAAGGTGTTCCTCAGCAGTATCATAGGAAACAAGCTCAAGGATAGCTCAAACTCTAATTCTAATTCTAGTACTTCAAAATAGAGAAAAGGAAAATGAAAAGAGGAAGAAAGCAAGAGAAGGAGTAGCTGGAACTGGTATGAAATTCTAGTGCCTCTAATTCATGAGTCTTTTGCAGGTAGGTTCATGGGAACTTTTTTCCCCATCTCCCTCCCTTCCTCTAGAGCACAAGTGAAGCAGAAGGGACTGGGGATCATGGTTTAAGGAAGTGAGGTAAGGGTGCTGGAGTAGCACTTGGGGCCTGGCCTTCCCCTCGCTGTTCTTCCTGGCCTGAGGGGTGTGTGGTTTGCAAAATCCACCACCAGAGAGAGCAGGGGTGGGACAGTGATTCAGGGCTGCCTTCTTGGACAGTCATTGTAGTGCCTACAGGTATTCACATGGGGCAGCTAGAAGTCCAGGGAGTTAGATGGAGAGAAGCTTCCTATCATATATCACAGAAGGGTCCCTGGTGATGTCCCCTCCCTCTCCCAAAGCCCTCCAGACAGAGGCTTCAGAGGGGCCATTGACAGAGACATTTCAGGAGGGCTTCCACACTGGGGATGTCTTTACAATGAGGCCAAAAGTACAATAGAGCTCTAACAGGTGACATGGGTGGGGCATTGAGATGTGTGCTCTGATCTCAGAATGTAGGAAAGGAGTCCGGGAATTTTGCCTCTGGTTTCTCCACCTGGGCCCTGATCCATGCTGACTCCACTGCCCTTCCTTCTACGCCTCCCTATGACTGTGAGTTGGAGGCCTGGACAGATGAAGAGGATCACTTAGGTACAGCGCAGGCCTTCTAGGGTGACGTCCTAAGGACTGGATTGGAAGGCGGGTGGTGAGGTGTAGCCCCTGGGCCTGGGAAGACTTGGGATTCTGAGGGAGGAGGAGGTGGTTGTAGTCTAACCAGTTTGGAGGTGTGGTTAGCTGCCAGCGAACTCATTTGGGCCTTGCACATGTGCATTCTCGACTGCTGTAGGGAGCTCTTAGGAAGTCAGGTCAATGCTCCTTCTACCAGGCTTTTCTCTGGATCTTTCTCTTGACCTCCCCATTCCTTTCTGCCATCCTAACTGGGAGAGGTTGGGCTTTATGTCTGGGTAGGCTTGAAAGTCACAATCAAAATTGGCCCTGGTTGGAAAGAAAGAGACAAGACAGTCAGACAGGCAAGCAGGCAGGCAGGAAGCATACAGATATTGAGACACTGAACTTACAGAGAGACCCCTGTGGACCTTTTCCAAGTCCCTTTATTTCCCTTTGTCCCACAAACCTTTCTTTGATCAGCCCCTGTTTCTCTTTTTTCTTGATTAATGTAGACTCCTCTGCGTCTCTGCCTCACAATTTTCCTAAGCTCTTTCAGCTCCCAGGTGAGACCCTTCATGATTCCCCCTTCCTCCCTGTTCCTCCCCTTCTTTCCTAGTGACTGTTCATGTTGATTCAGAGCCAGGGGCAACCCAGCTCCAGGGGCCCTCCATGGCTCCCTCCTCCTGGTAGGAGTGGGAACAGACTAGAGTTTGGGCCAGTGGAGGGTGGGGCCTGCACAGCTGGCTCACAGCCCGGGCTGCTGTAAGAGGAGGGCTGGCCAAGGGATGAGGCCCAGCCCGCTGCCTCCCCTCCCTTCCCCCAGGTATAATAGCTGAGCTCAGGTGAGCTGGTTCCTCCTGTCCAGTCTCAGCGGCTGCCAGCAGGTAAGGAAACCCAGGGCCTTTCATCTTCATGGGCTGCGCCTGTGTCTCTCTTTCCCCAAGTTTTCCAAGGGAGGGCTGGCGATCTGTGTCCTGGAGCTTGGTATGTGTGTTTGGAGCAGAAGTGGGTGGCTAGAGGAGGTGGGAAGAATGAATTTGAAGTGAAGCCTAAAGGATTGCCTCTAAATGGGTTGGCCTAGGGTCTGTGGGCAGGATCTAGGTCTGTGTATAGTTGACTCCAACCCATGGGTAAAAGAATACCTTGAGAGGTCATAGAGAAAGAAGGATAAACACTTGTTTTACTTTAGGCCTCCTCCTCTTCTAGGCAGATCATGAGCCATCAGCTTCCCTGGGATAGCCTATAAGACAACACAACTCTCACCAAAAGACCAAGTGCACCATGGGACAGTGTCGGTCAGCCAATGCTGAGGTGGGCCTATTTACCTGCTGGATTTGTTCCTACATTCCCTTCTTTCTCCCTAAGTGTCTATGTCTCCCACTGACTTGTGCTGCTTACTTTGGCCTTGCTCTGCACCTAGACCTGGCCAGGGAGACCTGAATCCTCCCCCGATCTCCACACACAGTGTGAAGCAGATGGAGTCCTTCTGGGAAGAAGATATCTGGGCACATGCTAGAACCTGTCCTGCTGGATTTTGGGGCTGTTGAGGAGGGAAGGCTTGCCTAACCTATGGCTCAGAGCAGAAGCAGTGGCCTGGAGGCCATGGTGGGCGTGAGGGAGAGGGGCTAGACTCTGGGCTCTGTGTATCTTCCCAGTTGTCTTTAGCCCAGTTGGCTTTGCCCAAGTTCCTGGGGGAAGCAGGTGCCGTGGGAGTAGGTGGAACTTCCCTGACATGGCTCATTTCTTCTGCCCTCAGGATGCCCAGGAATTCAGTGATGTGGAGAGGGCCATTGAGACCCTCATCAAGAATTTCCACCAGTATTCTGCGGAAGGTGGAAAGGAGATGCTCACTCCCTCTGAGCTACGGGATCTAGTCACCCAGCAGCTGCCCCACCTTATGCCGGTACTGGCAGAGTAGACCCCACCCCATCTTGGCCCCTGACTTCCCAAGAAACTGTTCCAAGACCCCACCCCCACACACACTGGCAACCCCCAGCCCTTCCCTCTTGCCGTAGCCTGGGCCCTGCTGTCTGCCTCCAGCCAGGGTGGGGTGGGAAGATCAGAAGGTACTAACTTGCTTAGCTGTGGTATCTTCCCTCCCCCCAGAGCAATTGTGGGCTGGAAGAGAAAATTGCCAACCTGAGCAACTGTAATGACTCTAAACTGGAGTTCGGGAGCTTCTGGGAGCTGATTGGAGAAGCAGCCAAGAGTGTGAAGCTGGAGAACCCTGTCCCAGGAAGTTGACATCCTCATGGAATTCTGGGGGGAGGGGGTGTAGGGTAGGGTGGAGGGGGAAGGGAACCTTAGAGACTGTGGACCTGGAAATAAAATTTCTTTCCACCATCACTACACTATTCTCCAACTTGCACCTCTCCTCATCTCTGCAAAGTCCAGGCTCATAACAGCCATCTGCCCCGTGCTAGCCCTTCTTGCTCCCAACTCAGTCTCATACTCCTCCCAGCACTCTGTTCCTGGGCAAGGGCAGGAGAAGAAAGGGAACAGGATCAGGGAAGAGGCTGAGAAGGGTGTGATTCTGGGGATAAGAGAACCCCGCTGGGTGCTTGGGCATTGACAGAATGATGGTTGTTTTGTATCAATTTGATTAATAAAAAAAATGGAAAAAGTAAAAGATGTTGTCTTGATTGGACACACCCCCTCTCCCCACCCATAGGACCCCTGGATGAGAGCTTCTTGGGGTTAAATGGAAAAGTCATTGGTGGGGTGAACATTTAGGGCTGGAGTGGTTGGCAGGGATTGAGTGCTCACTTTCCCCATGGACTTGGGTCAAGGGTGGTCCTGGGCCTGAAATGTGGGAGTCCTGGTCCATTCTCAGGAACAGGGCTCTCCTTGCCAATGGGCTTTTTCAGACAAGTGTACACATTTGGGGTAAAAAACATGAGCCCACATATTTTCAGGCCCAGATGACGAATGGCAAGGAAAATAGGGGCTGAGAAACCAAGCTAACTGGCTTAGGAATGAATCCCAGCTCTGCCATTTACGTCTTTGAAGTTTGGGGGCATGCTCATGGAGTATCTTTCCTGATCTATAAAATGTGACTCATCACAGGAGTGTCGGGAGGATGATGGGGCCCATAACACAGTCTGATGTGTGATGTTCTTAACCGACAACTTGACATATCATGGGTGAATAAATTGAAGTCACTGTGGAAGTTGGTGACAGGGTCCT